GCGTTCACAGGAACACGTCGGGGACTGACATTTCTATTCACCCAAAAACTCTGCAGGAACAAAATGATGAACGTGCAGAACATGGAGGAGTGAAAGCAGCAGAGTGTGACGGGTTGATGGGAATGCACATCGACACAGAGAAGCAGAGGAAGTCAGAGAAGAATGACGCTGAGGTCAAAGATGCACTCAGCTGTCTGTGGATGAAAGGTAGATAGAACTCACTGTGTGGATGTTTGGTTAAACGTGACTTGCTGTCTAAAGTGATGATCATTTCATCTCACTATTATTGTCATTATTATTTTATATCATTGTTCTGTTTATTTTTATCCTGCTGCTAAACTAATTTCCCCTCGTGGGACAATAAAGAAATTGAACTGAATTTAAAGTAGAAAAGTATCACATCAGTATCCACTTCCATTTCCATAAGGTTAATAACCTCGTGCTAAACGCAGCTACTAAAGTAAAAGGTACAAGCAATATGTAGGTCAGTCTATGAGCCCATAGCTATTTGCTCTCCTCTGGTAACAAACCCTTTGACAACATCAACCACTTGCCCTTATGCAGCCAGGGCGACCTTGTTTGGTGACGGGCAGTTTGACCATATCTATGAATGGCTCTGTTAGTCAGAAGCAACAAAACCTGTGTCTGATGAGCAGGTTTATTTTATCAGCAGTGCAGGGAAAAGAACTCTGTGCTCCTTCCAGCTGCTCCCTTATCACACGAGAACGCCACAGAGGCAACTTTGCATGTTTGAGTTGAGTTTTCAGTGGGTGCTCTTCCTGACATCACCGCTCCTTCTCGAACCAAACAGGATCTTTTACTCGAACAGAGTTTCAGACAACTGATGTTCTGGGTTCCTTAATGTGCTGGTGGTTCTCCTCAGAACACCGCAGCTTGAAACACTGTTGCATTTTCTCACGAGCACAACTAACAAAGGGATGCAGTCACTGTGATAGCGTGACTGGTCTTCTTCTGTGGTGTGGGTGGGACCCAAACGGCTCTGTGGCTTTACTCAGTTTTAGAGGCCGTTCACACCACCTGCTGCTGCCAGTAATGTGCAGAACTGCATCAGTGTTTTGGGCTGACACAATATATTACAGCCAGATAACCTGTGGCAAAAACAAATCTATGTTTGGGCCCAGGGCTGGATTCTGGTAAAAGCTGTGAGGTTATAAAGATAAAAATAAGAGATAAAACATTTTAAAACATGATTTGTTTGATCATCTAAAAATGTATTATAGATAATACTTCATATTTATGTGAATCTTCCCCACAGTGCCTCATTTAGAGAAGGTCCAAAGCAGTCTCCCAGTGATGGTTTACTGTAGCAGTCATGTTTAAATACAGTCTCCCTCAAACACATAAGTGTATATATAAAAATAACGTTCACTAGCTGGGCCCACGTCCTCATTTGAGGTTTGACAGCGTTTCAGTAGATAATGGTGAATGGCTTGGCCATGAATTGAGCTGTGGTTTGGGGAAGTCCTCAGAGGAGACTGGCGGCTCATCGTGTACTAAATAGAAGTTAAAGAATTGAAAAGGGGAGGGAGGGGCATGTAGACGAGAACGAA